ATAGAACAGGTTGGAAACATGGCAGAATAAACATGTTTTCATTTCCACAACATTCTGAAATCACACTAAAATGATAATAGATAATTGTATGGGGCACCTGGCTGGCTCAGTTGGTGGAGGATGTGACTCTTGGTTTTTGTTTTGTTTTGTTTTGTTTTGTTTTTTTAATTTTTTTTAACGTTTATTTATTTTTGAGACAGAGAGAGACAGAGCATGAACGGGGGAGGGTCAGAGAGAGGGAGACACGGAATCTGAAACAGGCTCCAGGCTCTGAGCGGTCAGCCCAGAGCCCGACGCGGGGCTCAAACTCACGGAGTGTGAGATCGTGACCTGAGCCGAAGTCGGCCGCTTAACTGACTGAGCCACCCAAGCGCCCCGGTTTTTTTTGTTTTTTAACACAAATTCCATGGCAAAGGGAATTAAGGTGGATAACTACCTGACATTAACATAGGAAGAGTATTTTGGATTATTCAGGCCAGTATAATCACAGGGGTCTTCAAAGTGGAAGGGGGAGGCAGAAGAGAGAGTGAAAAAGAGGTAGATGAAGCAGAGTCAGAGAGAGATGCTATGTTGCTGGCTCTGAAGATGGAGGAAGGGGCCGTGAGCCCCCAGCAGCTTCAACACCCTGAAAATGGGGCACCTGGGTGGCTCAGTCGGTTAGGCATCTGACTCTTGATCTTGGCTCAGGTCCTGACCTCACCGTTTGGAAGATTGAGCCCTGCGTCGGGGCACGGAGCCTGCTTGGGATTCTCTCTCTCCGTCTCTCTCTCCCCCTCCCCCGCTTACTCTCACTCTCTCTCAAAATAAATAAGTAAACTTAAAAGAAAACTCTGAAAATGACCCCAAAAAAAACCTAGATTCTCTCCTAGAGCCTCCAGTAAGGAACTCAGTCCTGCCTGTACTTCAATTTTAGTCCAGTGAGATCCGTGTTGGGCTTTTTTTTTTTTTTTAAGTTTGTTTTGAGAGACAGAGAGAGAGAGAGAGCATGTGTGCACATGCAAGTAAGGGAGTGGCAAAGAGAGAGGGAGAGAATCCCAAGCAGGCTCTACACTGTCAGCACAATGCCCGATGCAGAGCTCAAACTCACCAACTGTGAGATCATGACCCGCCAAAATCAAGAGTCGCACACTTAACCGACTGAGCCACTCAGGTGCCCTGATATCCATGTTGGACTTTTAATTTACGGAACTGTAAGCCAATAAATGTGTGTTATTTTAACCCACTAAATTCGTCGTAATTTGTTACAGCATCAATAGGAAACCAACACAGGGGTGCCTGGGTGGCTCAGTCGGTTAAGCATCCAACTTCAGCTCAGGTCATGGTCTCATTGTTGGTGGGCTCGAGCCCTGTGTCGGGCTCTGTGCTGACAGCTCAGAGCCTGGAGCCTGCTCCGGATCCTGTGTCTCCCTCTCTTTCTGCTCCTCCCCCACTTGCTCTCTGTTTCTTTCTCTGTCTCAACAAGAAATAAACATTAATTTAAAAAATAGGAACTAATATAGTTGGTGTGGGGAAAGCTCAAGTGTTCAGTTTTGGATGTGTTCAGAGAACCTGAGCGTGTTAAAGATCTATGTAGAAGATACCAAATAGGCAGATGGATAAGAGTCTGGAATTCGGGGGAGAGGTATGGGATGCAGATAAAAATTTGGAGTCGTCAGCGAAGAGGGAAAAGCCAAAAGAATGGATGAGGTTAACAAAGGAGCAAGTGTAGATAGAGAAGAGGTCTAAGGAGTGAGCCCTGGAACACCCAAGTCTGACAGCTGACATCCAGCCGGTGGTTTCAAGGTAGCGAGCACTCCAAAACACAGGCAGGCTCCAAGACGTAAATGCACAGCTAAGCAGTAGGTCAGAGGCAGATACTTTAACACTCGGCTTGTGAGAACAGGCAGGTGCTGGAGACAGGAGTGAGTCACAGATCTCAAATCCAGGGAAACAGTCTTGTCAAGAGGAAATAGGCATAGGCCTGGCAATAGAGGTTGAGAAAAACATAAGGACAGAGTCAGGGCAATATATTTTAGACGTTGGCAAAGATGGGACCTTGGCCCTGAACCAGCTTTCTGCCTTGGGCTTCTACTGCATCCTTAACTTGATTTTTTTCACGTTTTAACACCTCTGAAATCAGATGAATCGTGTCACAGTTTAATTGGCAGCATTTTTTTCCTTCTTGGTATATAAAATAATGATGGTCTTGGGGGCGCCTGGGCGGCTCAGTCGGTTAAGCGTCCGACTTCAGCTCAGGTCACGATCTCACAGTTTGTGAGTTCGAGGCCCGCATCGGGCTTTGTGCTGACAGCTCGGAGCCTGGAGCCTGCTTTGGATTCTGTCTGTCTGTCTGTCTCTCTCTCTCTCTCTCTCTCTCTCTCTCTGCCCCTCCCCCACTTGTGCTCTGTCTCTGTCTCTCAAAAATAAATAAAAATGTAAAAAAAAAATAATGGTGGTCTTAGAGTCAATGGTATCTTTGGTTTCATGAAATACAATTGCTCTCTCACTTAGGGAGCATTTCAAATTTTTCAAATTTTGCATTTTTTTTTCAAATTTTGCATTTTTTTTAAATTTGGAGGGGGCTGAACTTTATTGAAGTTTCACTTACTGAAAATAATACCCGCCAATTTTAAGTGTACAACTAAACGAGTTTACACAAATGCGTGCAGTCATGTAACCATCAGCACAATCATGATAAAGAGCATTTTCATCACTCCAAAATGTTTCCTGGGGTCTCTCTGTGGTCAGTCCTTTCTCCCTACCCCTATCCCCAAGCAATCATTGATCTGCCATCTAGCACTATAGTTTTACCTTTCCTAAAATTTCCGATAAATGAGATTGTACAGCCTGTACTCTCTTTGCGTCTGGGTCTTTTCACTCAGCGTAATCATTCTGCGATTCATTCATGTTGACAGACGTTCTCAGTTCATTTTCACTGTTGAGTATTATTTCACTCTGCGGATGTGCCACATTTTGTTTGCTCGTTCGCCAGTTGGCAGACATTTGGATCGTCTCCAGTTTGGGGCTATTATAAAAAGCGAATAATTGACCTTTTTCAAAGCGGGAGAAAGGGTAATCCCATGCAAAGCAAGTGGGTTTTATTTTATTTTCTCCTCATGAAGCATGAGAGAATTCTTTTACTTAAAAAAAGGATAAGGGAAACAAATCTCATACATTTTGGTCATATTAGTCCTTTAAATACCAGTGAACGGTGAGTGTTCATTAAGTATCTGTGAATCCTAATCAGGGTAAGGAAAGGAAATTCCAAAGTTGCTCAGAGTACACCTTGGAATGAATAGAAAATACAAGTCTTAAAAAAGAAAACACAAGTCGCTCCCCCAGTGAGATAAACTTTGGATAACATTGGGCTACTTGAGGAAAACGAAGCCTGCAGAACCTATCTTTTGATCTGAAAAACACTAAACTTTCTTTTTTTTTTTTTATTTATATATGAAATTTATTGTCAAATTGGTTTCCATACAACACCCAGTGCTCATCCCAAAAGGTGCCCTCCTCAATACCTGTCACCTTCTGTGTTCTCCCTCCCACCCCCCATCAACCCTCACTTTGCTCTCAGTTCTCAACAGTCTCTTATGCTTTGGCTCTCTCCCACTCTAACCTCTTTTTTTTTTTTTTCCTTCCCCTCCCCCATGGGTTCCTGTTGAGTTTCTCAGGATCCACATAAGAGTGAAACCATATGGTATCTGTCTTTCTCTGTATGGCTTATTTCACTTAGCATCACACTCTCCAGTTCCACCCACGTTGCTACAAAAGGCCGTATTTCATTTTTTCTCATTGCCACGTAGTATTCCATAGTGTATATAAACCACAATTTCTTTATCCATTCATCAGTTGATGGACATTTAGGCTCTTTCCATAATTTGGCTATTGTTGAGAGTGCTGCTATGAACATTGGGGTACAAGTGCCCCTATGCATCAGTACTCCTGTGTCCCTTGGATAAATTCCTAGCAGTGCTATTGCTGGGTCATAGGGTAGGTCTATTTTTAATTTTCTGAGGAACCTCCACACTGCTTTCCAGAGTGGCTGCACCAGTTTGCATTCCCACCAACAGTGCAAGAGGGTTCCCATTTCTCCACATCCTCTCCAGCATCTAGAGTCTCCTGATTTGTTCATTTTGGCCACTCTGACTGGCGTGAGGTGATATCTGAGTGTGGTTTTGATTTGTATTTCCCTGATAAGGAGCGACGCTGAACATCTTTTCATGTGCCTGTTGGCCATCCAGATGTCTTCTTTAGAGAAGTGTCTATTCATGTTTTCTGCCCATTTCTTCACTGGGTTATTTGCTTTTCGGGTGTGGAGTTTGGTGAGCTCTTTATAGATTTTGGATACTAGCCCTTTGTCCGATATGTCATTTGCAAATATCTTTTCCCATTCCGTTGGTTGCCTTTTCGTTTTGTTGGTTGTTTCCTTTGCTGTGCAGAAGCTTTTTATCTTCATAAGGTCCCAGTAATTCACTTTTGTTTTTAATTCCCTTGCCTTTGGGGATGTGTCGAGTAAGAGATGGCTACGGCTGAGGTCAGAGAGGTCTTTTCCTGCTTTCTCCTCTAAGGTTTTGATGGTTTCCTGTCTCACATTCAGGTCCTTGATCCATTTTGAGTTTATTTTTGTGAATGGTGTGAGAAAGTGGTCTAGTTTCAACCTTCTGCATGTTGCTGTCCAGTTCTCCCAGCACCATTTGTTAAAGAGACTGTCTTTTTTCCATTGGATGTTCTTTCCTGCTTTGTCAAAGATGAGTTGGCCATACGTTTGTGGGTCTAGTTCTGGGGTTTCTATTCTATTCCATTGGTCTATGTGTCTGTTTTTGTGCCAAAACACTAAACTTTCAAGAGTAAAGATTCCACTTACTTACAGATAGGAATACTGACCCATCTGTGGCTTCAGACGCCTGGCTAGGAGGAGCTAGCTGCGTTGTATGCCGGGATTCGTAGTCCTCGAAAGAGTCGTTCTAGCCAAGATGGCGGAGTTGCTAATGACGTGCGAAGAGCGGCCCCGAGGGAGTCTGGGCCACCAGGGGATGGGGCTGTGCGGACCTTCCGCCGGCGGGAAGTTAAGACCAGGTGCTAAGACTTTTCTATCAAAGGAAGCCTGGCGCCCTGAAGTCTCGCGAGATCCTGGCCGGGCCCAATGGAAAGCGGGGTCTGGTTTGTCACTAGGGGCGTTTGTTGGGGGGCGGAGCTAGACGGGAGTGGGCCGGGCGTCGTAGGTGCCCGGCGTAGCGGCGTTTAGGCCGAGCTGCGGTTCTCAGGAGCGAAGCCGTGGCCATGAAGGAGGAGAAGGATCACAGGCCTAAAGAGAAACGAGTAACCCTGTTGACTCCCCCGGGGGCCACGGGCAGCAGCGGTGGAGCTTCGGGGGACAGCGCCAAAGGGGAAGATAAGCAGGATCGAAATAAGGAGAAGAAGGAGGCGCTGAGCAAGGTGCCTGGCCGGCTGTTGGCCCGGGAGAGGGCGGGACGGGTCCGCCACCCGCGAGGATGGTTGGGAGTGGGGCTGCCCTCTTTCCCCTCCCAGTCTGCCCCTCTGTTTCTTTACCTGAGTGAAAATCACGTCACCTAGTCTTCACCCACTCGCCCGAGATCGAGGGAGCCCCTGTCGGCCAAGCCCCGGGGTACGAGTAAGGGAAAAGGGAGGGATTCCTAGATGAGAAGGTGGAGATCCGAGCTGTGAGAAGAGTGCAAGAGAGATCGATAGTAAAGAGAATGAGGAATTCGAAGGTTAATGGGGGTGGGGGTGGGGGTGGGGTGGATTATTAAATCGTGAAGGGGCCATCGGGGGTGGGAGTAGTTTGTGATCAGAGTAGTAATGGAGGCGAGTTGAGCGGGAGTGGGGGGATTCATGGTCGGAGGGGGGGGGGCGGGCCGGGTTCATCTTATTTTAGGAGCAATAAGGAACTTTTGGTATTCCTTAGCGTTTTGAATTTTCTATGCTGAATGAGGAAGGATTCTGTTTTAGGATATGTTGGCTGTGGTAAGGGGATCATAAGTCAAACGTTCATGGTACCCACAAAAGACCAGGATTGGCCTATTAATTTCTTGTTACTACATCTGTCGAAAAATGGGTGATAGAAAATGATGCAAAAACCTGGTAAACGGCTGGGTTCTGTTTAACAGAACCTAAGATTTTCCTTGTTCTCTGCTGTTCTTATTTCTAAGAGTTTGTAAAAAACAACAAAACAAAACAAAAAGAAAGCGTTACGATTAGTCTTGACTAATTCTGAACGTTAGAATAATTTTCTGCTGGGTTTTTAATATGTGAGCTCATCCTTTAAAGACCAACTTTTTTTCAGGGCTGGTGATTCTTTCAGGTATGACAGGAAATGGATTTGTACTAATTTTATTTTCCTTGTTCGTTTCTTAAGGTGGTCATTCGGAGATTACCTCCCACTTTGACCAAGGAGCAGCTTCAGGAACATCTTCAGCCTATGCCGGAGCATGATTATTTTGAGTTTTTTTCTAATGATACTAGGTAAAATGAATAAATAAAAGAGGGCGGGGGTAAATGAAAATTTTTCTTTCATTCTTTTTTACCCTACTGTTTCCATTTGATTTTTGAGCCTGTCTCTTTAATATATGCATACTTGTAATTCAGACACCTGCAAGCACATTTACATAATTGCTTTCCTCTCTGCAGTCTGTATCCTCATATGTATGCCAGAGCATACATCAACTTTAAAAACCAAGAGGACATTATTTTGTTCAGGGATCGCTTTGATGGTTATGTATTCCTTGACAATAAAGGTGAGTCCTTGTAACTGAAGGGGAGTTTCTTTGTCATTTGTATGTTTAAGACAATGTGTGTATCACAGTGTTTTCTCAGTGCCTTCATAGCTTTTCTAAAACTCGGTGATAAAATGTGCAGCATCTAAAGAGTTTTACACATTTACTAAGCTTATTGCAGTCATAAATAGATGTGTGACTTTTCACAGCCCTTGGATATTTTTATTAACCTGTTATTTCTGTAGTTTGACCGACTGAATGAAATTGCCACTGTTTTCTCTTCCTGTGGCCAATTTTTTTCGCCCTGGATTAGACGATCTGTTGTTTTGACTATTTACCAGCTTCAACAGCAATACTGATAAATGGCTCTTTAAACTTGTACAACAAATTTTAAATATTTACTTGTCATCTCACTTCAAGGACCAACATTGATTGATTTAGGTTAAATCCTTTAAGCCAGTAATTCCCAGTTGGGAACACTGTTCAACGTTCCGATTCGTATTTGTGCTTAAAACATCCAACTTCATGATCTCCCACTTTGTATCCAGGATTCTATAGGGAAGAAAAACTTCTGCCTTAACTCTCTCTTTATTATCTGCCACTTGCAACATTGTAGCTAGATATCCAAGCTGCTATTTCCCACTTACCTTTTTTGTCTTTGTAACTATTATAGGCAAACAAAGTATCTTTTTGTTGGACTGTTTTTCAGTATTACTTCAGAGTTGGTAAAAATGAAATCTTTGTGAGGGAATATGCCAGGAAAAGTTGAAGGATTTCCACTGTGTTTCACCAGATTTTATTAATCCCCATGCCCCCACAGACCCCTGAAACCACTTACTTCTCCACTCCCAACTTTATTCCACTAGATAGCAATGTTTTCCTGGAAACCTGAGTTATGTTTAACTTTTTTCCTCTCTTTTTTTATCCCTTATATTTAAACAAGTGATGAATTTTTCCAGTTTATTTTTTAATGTCTCGTTCATCTACTTATTAATACTTTTCACACTGTGTCCTTGCCTCCCAACGCTTAGACAACCCATTGTCTCTAAACTTACAGAATTTTCCTTTTTTTTCATTTCTGTATAAGTTCAGTCTGTTACACTGCCATGAAATTAATGTTTTTGAAAATAGTGATTTAAGACAGCAGTTACGGGGGGCGGGGCCCCGGGGGAGTCCAAATTCCATAGCCTGGTAGTTAGGGTCCTTCATAGGCTGGCCTCACTTCTGGGGTTTTTGTTTGGTTTTTTTTTTTTGATTTTTCAGCCTCTCTTACCACAATTCCTTCTGCTTTAGTCTGATTTATTTATTCCTTCTCAAATATATCAGTTAATAAACTGATTCTGTATTCAGTAGGATTTCCAAAACCATGCTTCCTCCCTGACTTCTTTGTGATGCCTTCTGGTCATTTCTATTTATTCTATTCTGGCTTATGTCTACATGCCAATGATAGTATTTTATACCCTTTATGACATCATTCTATAACAGGGGTCTGGTGTATTTTCTTTTTCCAGCAGTCACTTGGGTATTTTTTTACTGAGATACAATTCACATACCATAAAATTCCATGGTTTTTAGTATATTCACAAAGTTGTACAACCATCACCACGATGTAATTCCAGAATGTTTTTATCACTCCAAAAAGGATCCTATAACCATTAGTCATCTCCCCTTCCTCCTCCTGTAGATATTTCCTAGAAACAGATTTATACAATATGTAGCCTTTGTGACTGCTTCTTTTACTTAACATGTTTGCAAGGTTCATCCATGTTGTAGCCTATAATCATTACCTCATTCTTTTTTTTTTTTGTACACATTTTTTTAAAAATTGTGGTAAAATACACACAATTTACCATCTTAACCATTTGAATTCTACAGTTCAGTTGAGTACATTCACACTGTGCAACCAATTCCTAGAACCTGTTTATCTTGCAGGACTGGAACTCTATACCCATTAAACAATAAATCCCCATTTCTTCCTCCCCCCAGCCTCTGGCAACTACCATTCTACCTCTATGAGCCATCATTCTGTCTCCATAAAGTTGGCCATTCTAGGTACCTCATATGAGTGGAACCACATAGTGTCTGACTTTCTGTCATTGGCTTGTTTATTTAGCATAATGTTCTCAAGGTTGAGCCATGTAGGGTGGGTCAGAAACTCCTTTTTAAGCCTAAGTAATATTCCATTGTATGTCTATACTACATTTTGCTTAACCATTTCTCTGTTGGAGGACATTTGGGTTGCTCCCACCTTTTGGCTATTGTGAATAATGCTCCCATGAACGTGGGTGTACAAATACCTACGCAAGTCTCTGCTTTCACTTCTTTTGAATATATACCTGAAGGTGGAGTTGCTGGGTCATATGGTAATTCTAGTTTTAATTTTTTGGAGGAGCCACCATATTGTTTTCCATAACAACCGCACCATTTTGTGTTCCTACCAGTAATGCACGAGGATTCTAATTTCTTCATGTCTTCGTCAACACTTGTTATTCTCTGTGGTTTTTTTTTTTTTCTTTAGTAGCTACCTTTCTAATGGATGTGAGGTGATCGCTCATTGTGGTTTTGATTTGCATTTCCCTAATGATTAGTGCGGTAATATTTTAATCTTTTCATATGCTTGTTAGCCATTTATATATCACCTCTGTAGAAACGTCTATTCAAGTCCTTTGAACATTTTTCAATTGGGTTTTTTGTTGCTGGGGAGTTGTAGGAGTTATTTATATATTTTGTATATATTGACCCCTTATCAGATGTATGATTTACAAATATTTTCTCCCATTCTGTGGGTTGCCTTTGTACTCTGTTAACTTGTCCCTTAGATAAACAAAAGTTTTTAATTTTGATGTAGTTCAGTTATCGATTTTTCACTTTTATTGACTGTGCTTTTGGTGTCTCCTGGCATATTTTTTATAACAGCTTTATTGAGCTATAATTCATATGCCATAAAATTCACCCTCTTAAAGTATACAGTTCAGTGGGTTTTAGTATATTCACAGAGTTGTGCAGCCGTCACCACAATCTGATCTTAGAATACATTTTGCTCTCCAAAGAGAAACCCCGTATTCATTAGCTCTCACTCTCCATTCTCCCCCAACTATGCCCCAGCTCTAGGTGGCCACTAATCTTCTTTGTATCTCTCCAGATTTGCCTATTCTAGAGATTCCTGATGTATTTTAAAAAACATTTTTAAATGTTTCTTTTTTGAGAGAGCACGAGTGGGGAAGGGGCAGAATCCAAAGCAGGCCCCAGGCGCCAAGCTGTTGGCACAGAGCCCAATGCAGGGCCTGAACTCACGAGCTGTGAGATCATGACCTGAGCCAAAGTCGGACACTGAACCGACTGAGCCACCCAGGCGCCTCTCTGATGTATGTTTTAAACGAACATTGATTTATAGATTTTTCCCCCCTCATATCAAAATATCACACTTTAAAAGTTGAAGTTAAATGATTATTTTACTTCCCTGCCATATCTTTTCGTTATGTTATCAGTGTGAAATTGGGGCTCCTTTGGTAACATGCTGATGTTAGTTGTGCCCATGTGATTTGTGCCCTTGTGATTCATTCCCATTGAGGGGCCCTATTCAGTTGACTGCTGTCAAAGGAGGCCTAGAGAATGGTGGGTTGACTCTCTTGTATCCACTTTTGGCTTTTTTGTTGTTATAGCAAGTGTGGTATTTTTTTCTAAACAGGTCAGGAATATCCTGCCATAGTAGAATTTGCACCTTTTCAAAAAGCTGCAAAAAAGAAGACTAAGAAAAGAGATACCAAAGTTGGGACTATCGATGATGGTACAGTATAGCTCTAGTTATGTAATGCTATTGCCCTGGGTTTTTTAAAAAAATTACTACCTTTGTGGGAATTAATTGGATTCCAGTCTTTCAAATAGGAAAACACACAGAATAAAGTTTGTGAGAAATGTAATTCACTGGTGAAAGCTTTGCTTAATTGTCGGAATAGAAGTGGGTTTCCTGTAGAGTTCCCACTCTGGCTGGTGCCATCTCATTCCTTCACCATCAAGCAATATAGCATTGACTGTCGGGCAGTAAATTACCTTTGGTTTGTTGACTGGAAGACAATGGTGAAAAATCAGATGTAGCAAAGTACAACTCTTTGAGGTCTCAATGTATTTTATGATGATGATTATTTATATATTTTTTAACGTTTATTTTTATTTTTGAGAGACAGAGAGAGACAGCATGAGTGGGAGAGGGGCAGAGAGGGACAGAGACCCAGAATCTGACGCAGGCTCCAGGCTCTGAGCTGACAGCACAGAGCCCGACATGGGGCTCGAACCCACGAGCCGTGAGATCATGACCTGAGCCGAAGCCGGACGCTCAACCGACTGAGCCACCCAGGCGCCTCTTATTTATTTCTTTTGATTTCCATTTTTATAGAGAGGGAAGGTTTATCATTGAGAGCTGGGATGGAAAATTTTCTATACTTGAGGAACATAACCTAAAGTAGTGGAAGCGGCTAGTCCTATTTTCCCGGGCTTTGAATATGCAGTTAACTGCACACATAGTAATTACATTGAACTGGAATACGGGAACCGAAAAACTGGAATAATTGCCACGTAAGGTAAACTGGATCCAGATTTTGAGCTCTGTGTAATGTTATGTTGGATATGGACTTAGCTGTAACATTTTGTATCTGATATTTTGGAATCCTCTAGTTTGATTTCCATTACTTATTATTAGAGTGGGTATTATAAAGAAAACACAGACAAGATTCAACACAGAGCTAGTGACTGATTATATCACAGATTCGGATCTGGAAGACTACATCAAGTGACATGCCCCACAGTGCACAGAAACTCCAAATACCAGCAATGGGAGGACGCCATTGTGTTACCCTTTCTGAGGTCAGATGCGTCAAGAAAACTCCAGGAATCATCAGCTCCAGTGCAACATCTAGGACATCCCCCCTCAATATGTTGGGTTTACTTAATGTGTATTTATTTTTGAGAGACACAGAGCACGAGCAGGGGAGGGGCAGAGACAGAGAGGGAGGCAACAGAATCTGAAACAGGCTCCGAGCTGTCAGCACAGAGCCCGATGCGGGGCTCGAACTCGGGAACGGTGAGGTCGTGACCTGAGCCGAAGCCAGCCGCTTAACTGACTGAGCCACCCAGGCGCCCCGTGTTGGGTTTACTTAAAGTGAGGTATGCCCATACAGGAATTGCTTACGTGCCATCTGTAATACTGTGAAGGTCCCATAACGACAACTTGCAGTTCTCACATAAGTGTGAGTCTGGATTAGGTGGACAGTAACTTTTAAAAGCAAACTACTTAACATGCCTGGAGGTTCTGTTACAACGTGTGGTGTCTGCTTATCCCTGACTTGAGTGAGTATAGGGAATAGGAATTCCGAGAGTAATAGGCCAATAAAGCCCTAAATGGTCTAGTGGGTATGTTTAGGTTTATTTTTAATCTTCCATGATGTAGAAAGTTTTTTTTTAAAGTCTGCTATATTTTCTGTTTACCGAAACAATTATTTAGATCCAGAATATAGGAAATTTTTGGAAAGTTATGCTGCAGATAATGAGAAAATGACATCTACTCCAGAGACACTGCTAGAGGAAATAGAAGCAAAAAATAGAGAATTAATAGGTAAGTGGGCAACAGGAATTAAGGGCAACGGCTTTTTCATCAGAAGACCTGACTCCTACTTCTGTCACTTGCTAGCTGTGTGACCAGGGGGAAGGCCCTAACTTCTCTGAGCCTCTGCTATAAAGTGCAGACGATCATACCTGCCTCACAGGATTATGTAAATGCATTGATAAGGTGGGAAAAATGCTCCGTGACCTATTTTAATGCCACATAAATATAAGTAGAAAAAGTTTGAAGACTCATGGCACGTTTTGACGTCGGCAAGCCTTTGAAGATCAATTGGTATTTTCTGGTAACAAGCAGCTCACGTTCCTGAAAAACATGTGAACTGCAAATATCAAAAAATGAAGTCAGTTACTGCCAAATTGAAAACTCCTTGAGAAATTCTAGTTTGGACGTTGGCCCTAGCAGTAAATTGTCACTCTTCTCTCAGCTCCAAACACAAGCATAGCCCCTGACCCAGGATTTCCACTCCTAGGAATTTATCCAAAGGAAGTAGGCTTTCAAAAATGCTAACTACAAGGCTAGATAGCATTGTTCAGGATATTGGAAATTAAATTATTTTTCTAAAATGGATCTTATTAATGGATGCAGAGTCTAAGCCCATCTCTGATAATTTCCTTAGAATAAATTCCTGGAAGTGGAATTATGGGGACAAAAAGATGAGATATTTTTAGCGCCTTCCCCCAGTTTCTTCCCAGTTGAACAAATTTATATTGCCGTCTGAAACAAGAGACTATCCTTTGCACTTAATTCTCACTGACAGTGGGAATTAGTCCGTTAAAAAACTGCTTGAATTTGGATTTCTTCACTTTTGAAAAATGTATTTCAGACCTTCAGAATTGAAGCAAACTACCGTAAAACTCTTTTGTGATAATGTACTCGTGAACTGTTTTAAGGGGTATAGTTTTCCCACCTTGGGTGGTTGGCAGGGAATGTCAGAAAATGGAATCCTTTCTAGGGGTTGATAAGTATTATTAATAATCTGTTTACATTTATGTAGCTAAAAAGACAACCCCACTTTTGAGCTTCCTGAAAAACAAGCAGGTAAACCTTTTGTTTTTATAGTTCTCTCGATACTTTATATTTTCACTAGTTCGTAGTCCATAAGCATACGAGCATTGAATTGGGATCCTAGCGGAGAAACAGCTACCTTTTCTGCCATGATTCTTTGAAAGATGTGGCTCATCGGCCTCACTCTCTGGCCCTCTCCTTCGTGTTGTTGGGCCAAGGATGCACTGTGCAAACCCAGAGAGTCTTTAGATTATTCCAGAGACATTCCCTTGGTTTCCTAAAAGCCTCTGGAGATACGGCACGTAGGCAACAGTGGGGAGATCCTGATACTGGCAGGCCCTGGTCTTTATTCTCAGATTCTCAGTGGGGTGGCGAGGGGGTTAAAGAGGTAGAAAGTAGGAAGGAAAGACAGTCCCGTCTAGTGGGTGCCCGCCATAACTTTTGGATTAGGTTTTTGGTGATGATTACCTTGTTTGAAGGCTTATGTGGATGTTTCTTTCCAGAGAATGAGAGAAGAAAAAAGAGAAGAAAGAAGGAGGCGAGAAATAGAAAGAAAAAGACAAAGAGAAGAAGAGAGGAGGAAGTGGAAGGAAGAAGAAAAACGAAAAAGGAAAGATATAGAAAAGCTAAAGAAGATAGACAGAGTTCCAGAAAGGGACAAATTAAAGGACGAACCAAAGATAAAGGTATGAAAATGATGTGAGCTGACTGCATGTTGCTAAAAATTGCATGTACTTCTTTAAATATGCATGCATCTTGTGCTGTTGTAAACATAATTTTTTTAAATTTGTTTTTGTCTTTGTGGGGGGGGGGGAGGTGAACCAATAGAAACCCTTCCTATGATGCGAATGGTATTGTTTTTAAAAATTCAAGATAATCTAAAAGAATTAAGTAATTTACATGATATTTTTTCATGAAGATCTGTTATTTTCATCACAGAAAATGTTCAATGTTTGGATTATTATTCTCAGTTCTTCATAAGTAAGGGCTTAGGGCTGGCTGGCATGAGTTACGGGTTTTATTCAGCTTTTCCTTCATATTTGATACATGAAGTTGCCTCATCTGTTTGTTTTCCACTGTCTTCAGGTACACAGGTTTCTGTTACAAGCTGTGAATCAGAAAAATGTAAGGACCCAAGTACATGATACAGAGCACCTAGTATCATGTCACACACACAGGTCTTAGTTCGTAATAAGTCCTTTTGGTGGTGGTGGTAGTGATACCTGTAGAAAACGCCTTCCAACTGACTTGAGTCTTCTTGAAATCTGAGCCATTTTCAATTCCTACCTTAGAAGGAAGCCCCGATGACTTCCTGATGCTCTGCTGGGTACCCGGAAGCTTTAACAATCTACGGCTAGAGGACAACCATGCCTAAATCGCTCTGTCTTTCCATATGCCTCTCCTAACGGGCTGCCTTGTGGGAGTATTAGGGATAAATATAGCCTGTGTTACACGCTTCCCTTTCACATGATTCTCCCCGTTACCGTCTCTCATCTGCCTGGGGATCTGGGAGCAGCTGATTGTGATGAACGCATCGCACCCAGGAAGAGGCGAGCTTGTAGAAAGCTCCCAGCCTTACCGCTTCCCTTCTGAGGGCATGGCTGAGGCAGCTCTTGCTTCCAGCAAACTTCCTGGGGAAGTACTGCCTAGTCCTTCAGAGAAAGGGAAAATCTCACGGAGATGGTGGCAGGGTCTCCTCCTCTTACCTCCTCAAAACGAAGCAGTTTATGGCCAGAGCGTGTTCCCCCAAGTCTCTCCTGGGCTCATTACAGGCGATAAGGAGCTTGGGCAGCAGGGTGGGGAGATTCCCATCTTAATTCTTTCCAGCGATCTCTCTCTGTCTGCCGTGGCACAAGTGACCTGACTTGCTGTTCCTATCAGCAAGGCAGAAGGTTGAGCCAGCCACACTAGAAACTTTCACGATTGTTCTTAATAGAGTAATGAACATCCTGGCTTCTAACAAAGATGTTCATTAGAAAAAATAAGAACACTTCCAATGAAACCTGCACATGGTATCCTCACTACATCGATGCTCCGTAGCGTCCAGTGTGGACTGGCCATTTGCCGTGGCTACGTGCTGCAGGCCTTCATGCTCAAGTCTTTCTTGTGGTGCTTTGCCTCTTGCTTGCTGACTCGTGTGATGCCTTCACCCTGAGATGAACCTTTGTATGATGCCTTCGCTCTGAGACTCGAAATTCTTCTATTCTGCCTAAGAATCACTCTGAATATCCAACACTTGGGGATATTCTGGAGAGGTCTGTGGCAGCGATGGGAGAAAGAGACTGTTTTGTTAGCAATTTGGACTTCGTAAGGCACGTTTATTTTAGAATTGCATTTTGTCATATGTATGTGTGTCATATATATGCATGTGTATGTATATATATGTGACATTGAGCAGACTTCCTACTCCGTAGAGACGGAACCTCACCGTTCTGTGAGGCCTTTGGATTTTTAAATCAAATGATGAAAATTATGTCTGATCGTACCATCATAAGTGTGTTATTCTCAGGCTCAAGGCAGAATTATTCTTGCAATGGATCCCTCCTTTGGTGACAAAGGTATCGGTCACTCCAAGCACGACAGGCAAACGGCTGTCCAACATTACTGTCCAACAGTAATGATCTGCCCGGCATCTTCGATTTGTGGCCTATTTTCCCATCAAGTTACATCAGTATGCTAGCTGGCTACAGAAGGCATACTTGGAAGCGTGCACTGTTTCACTAAAAGGTTGACCCATTTCAAGCCAAAGGAGTCTTGATCCTATTGCCACAAGTGATTAAACCACCTGGAGTGGATAACACTTTCCACGTTCATAGCCTCCTTTTAGTCAATTACTGCTCTCCGTGCGCTAGTTCTTAACCTGGAAGTTTAAGAGTAGCTGCAGAAAAAGGCCTCCTATAGCCTAAATTTAAATCACTTGGAATATTGTTTTCTCGGGTAGAATCAGAAGAGAATGTCCCACCCTTGAAAATAAGAATACGTTTGTTCTCTTTAAAGCTACTCAAGAAGCCAGAAAAGGGAGATGAAAAAGAATTAGACAAAAGAGAAAAAGCCAAGAAACTAGACAAAGAGAATCTGAATGATGAAAGAGCCAGCGGGCAAAGTTGTACACTGCCCAAGCGCTCTGACGTCGAGCCTAAAGACGAAAAGCCTAAGAGGTCAGTGGCCGAGGGCTCCTTGGGACACTCCGTTTTCAGCCTGTTTCAACGTGCCAGTTTTACCGCTGTGTCCTGGCTGGTGCCCGAAGGGGGGCGGGAGTGCAGGGGATGAGGAGGAAAGGTTTCAGATATCCTAGCATCTTAGTCTGGGCGAACGAACTTATGGGTTTTGTTACTGATTTTCAAAACGCTCGCGTGTTTTCACCCTGCTCCAAAAACACAAGGTCACCCGTCGTGGCCGCATCCTAACCGGAGCGCCTCCGTGCCCGGGAGCAGGCCACAGGGAGCAGGCGGCGTTTGGAGGTGCCATCTGAGATCTGTTCCCCACGCAGGCCCGAAGACGAGGGCGGCCGAGACTACCGGGAGCGGGAGCGGGAGCGGGACTACGAGCGGGACCAAGAGCGCCTCCTGCGGGAGAGGGAGAGGCTGAAGCGGCAGGAAGAGGAGCGCCGCAGGCAGAAGGAGCGTTATGAGAAGGAGAAGGCTTTTAAGAGGAAGGAAGAGGAAATGAAAAAAGAGAAAGAAGCGGTTCGGGACAAAGGAAAGAAGCCGGAAAGTACCGAATCCGTAGGCAGCTCCGAAAAAACTGAAAAGAAAGAGGAAGTGGTTAAGAGAGATCGCATAAGAAACAAGGTGGTGCTTTTTGTTCTGTTTGTTTCCATGAGGACTTTTGCTCTCCTCTCGCACGTGTAGAGGCGAGGGCCAGCTCGCTGTGTGTGGCAGACTTTTTACAGGGGATCTTTAACTGTCTGCAACCTTTTTTCGGTCTCGGTGCGGTCCTTTGATTAATTTCTTGTAGGCATTTCAGACACACACAAAAGTAGAACAGAGAAGAACAAGACACACGCTTCAGCAGTTACCGGCTCCCGGCCAAGCTTTCTACTCTACCCCATCCCTGCCCCTACTGATGCTTTTCGAGCAGATCCTAGACACAGCATTTCTTCTTTAAATACGTCGATATTAGAGACAGAGATTCTTTTTCTTCATAGAACCCCGGTAGCATTTTCACACCAACCCCACCCCCCCAACACACACTAGTAAGTCCTCAGCGCCCTACCTACTGCGTTTTTCCCACTCGCCTCATTAGTAACTTCTTGATAGGCTCCAAGCAAGGTCCACCAATTGTATTGTATCCTTAGGTCTCTTTTAACCTAAACAATCCCCCCTCCTTTTGTTTTCCTGCCCTTTATTTGCTGCAGAAACCACTTTGTCCTGTGGAACTCTCGGCTCTAAATGGTCTATCTTCTACGTTTCCTTGAAAACTGGTAGTCCTATCTTGAAAAACAGGGGTCGGCCGATTTTTTTTCTGTAAAGGGCCCGATGGTAAGCACTGTAGGCCTTGTGGGCCATATGGTCTCTATCACAACCACTAAGCTCCGTAGGAAAGCAGGTATAGATAATGTGAAAAGAGTGAGTACGGCTGTGTGCCACACTCTGTTCATGAAAACAGGCGGCTCCTCACCCACAGGCCTGAATATATTCAGGCTCAATTTTTGGCGAGAACACTTCATAGATGGAGGGGCGCCTGGCTGGCTCGGTTGGTAGAGCACGCGACTCTTGATCTCGGGGTTGTGGGTTCGAGCCCCGTGTTGCATATAGAGGTTACTTAAAAATAAGATGATTAAAAAAAAAAAATACTTCATAGACGGGTGTTGTGTACTTCCTATCGTATGATGTCAGGAAACATGTGATGCCCGGGCGCCCCGTTAGTGTAATGCTATGATCAATCCATAGCAATTGCATTGTGGTTATGGAATAGGATGTCCTTGTTCTTAGGGTATACAAGCTGAAATATTTAGGGATGAAGGGTCATGATGTGTGCAACTTAAATGGAAAACAATCCGTACTAGAGGCTAAAAAAGCACATGACAAAACGTTCATAATTGCGAATCCAGGAGAAGGATACTAGGTGTTCACTATGCAGGTTTTGCAACATTTGTATAGATTTAAAATTTCTCAGGGTGAAAAAATTGAACAAACAACCAATCAGTAGGTTCAGGTATTGTAAGCCTGACCCATGTATTCTAAACATTTTTAGCCTGAAATTCAGTGTATCCAGGAAAGGCAAAATAGACACTTGATCCTTTCCCTTTATGCACCAGCATTCAGAGTAATGAGTCGGGGTCCCAGCAACTTCTAGGTCATCTGTGAGTTTTGCCTTGTCATAAGAACTTGTGGATTTAGAAATATTTGATGGATTCCAACTTGGTTTTATCAGTTATCATCCTTGTTGACGTTTAAATTGTCCCATCTTTGCACAGCGGGAGCCCCATCATCCGTTTCTTCAAATACTGTGCAGGAATCTTTGTCTGTTTTAACATCTCATCTTATAAAAATATTGAGACATTTTGCTGGAATTATTCAGTTGAGACTAATGCTTTAAGGCTAGCTTTCAGACGCTAGGGAGAAAGGGTAAGGAAGGCTCATGTAATCTTTTTGTTGAGTTCTAAAAAGGACCTATACATCTAAGTTTTCCAGGATCACACTATCATAAACCACACGCATGACTTGAACCGAGAGGTACATGGTGACTTTGTTGAGGCTTATTAGGAATTGGAGATCGAAAGAGCCACCCAGAGAGTCTCAAGCTGGGGTGTTAAACTGTCATACGTGAATTAAGAAATAACCATGCTTTGTGGCAAGTTGCATGGGGTATGAGCTCGTAATTTCAGGGGGGTCTTCACTAAGACTTTGCATTGTTTTTTTTAAGGTTTTTATTTATTTGGGGGAGAGAGAGAGAGAGAGAGAGAGAGAGAATCCCAAGCAGACTGTGTGCTGATAGCTTGTCTACTGTGGGTCTAGAACTCACGAACTGTGAGATCAGGACCTGAGCCGAAATCCAGTCGGACACCTAACCGACTGAGCCACGCAGGCGCCCCAAGGCTTTGCCTTCTTCATTTTGGTTTTCCTCCTAAAACTTTGCTATGTGGTAGCGAATGTTAAAGTCCGTTTACGGATGAGGAGGAGAGACAGGCGATGGCTGAGGTTTCTAAGTAAAGAAAATTCAAGCTAATTCAGCTCATCTTGAGATGGTTATAAAAATTAGACTTATTGGAAACTTACCCTCAGCGTACACAATAACACTTAATAAACGGTTGCTCTTCTTTGGAGAGAGGGGAAAGGAGGCGGGAGGTTAAAAGCAAGTTAACCATCAACACTGTCGTGTCCTGTGCCCTCACGTTTCTGGTCTCGTAGGGGTTGTTTCGGGGTACATACCAACCTATAGTTCGTGACTCCGAAGACCCCCTGGGAATGTCTGGCGGCAATGTTGTGACATTAACATTTCATTTTACTTTAGGATCGCCCGGCAATGCAGCTTTACCAGCCAGGAGCTCGAAGCCGAAACCGACTCTGTCCGCCTGATGACGGCACCAAGTCTGGAGATGCGGCGCTAGAAAAGAAGCAGGAAAGTGGTATTAGCCATAGGAAAGAAGGAGGAGAGGAGTGATAAGTCCAAACGGCCTTAGGTGTCCTGACTGTCTAGGCAGCCAAAGAGCACGTATTAAGCAATCCAGAAGTGCCTTCAGGGCAAAGGAATAGAGACAGAGGAAGGGATCGCTGGGCTGGTGAGGTACACTGCAGAGGAGTACGTTCTTTTTTTGTTGTTGTTGTTCTTTTTTTTTTTGCGTCCGAGCAGGAGCCCGGTTGCAGGTTCAGGTTGGAAATACAATTTCACTTTCTTATGCAGTTCCTACAAAGTCATTTTAAAGTGTCAAAGATGAGGGAGGGGCCACGCAGTGCGGTTTGCAGGCGGGAAATGTCCAGTGAGGAGTTAATTAGGTGCCACCCGAGGAGAGTAAAAAAAAGACAGCTCGTTCTGTAATCAAAGGTTTTGGTCAAACCCTGGATTGAACTTTTCTGAATCCGAGTGGAACAGAGTCACTGTGAAGTCTTGTTCAGATCTAATTACATTCATTGTTGGTGATAACTGTTGACCGTGTAGCGTAGACGAAACGAGCATGTAATTGTAGTACAAGGACAGTGAAGGGTATAACACGTTTGCGCCTGTGCAAAAACTTAATTATGTCGTGTCTATATCCTGGGTCCTGAAGTTTGGGGATTAGTTGTAGTTTTTTATTTGCTTATGTGAGCTTAGCGCCAAGAATATTTTTAAACCTCTCCTTTTTGCCTTTAGCGATTTTGATATTAATGAGTAAAATTTAACCTGTGTTTGGTTCTTGACAATCCAGTCTTTGTTTTATCTTAGGTCCGATGATCTGAGGGCATACCCTCTCTGGGAAGGAAACTGCACCAATTTCTGTTCCTGTCAGATAGCTACTTTTAGTCTTAGCTTGTTTTGCATTGATGTCAATAAATACCAATATCACTCAAGTAGGAAGCTAAGTGTTTGGGTTTTTTTATTACCTTTACTAACTAGCTATTAATTTGGAGAGATCAGCCTTTTGATACCGAATTCACCTCTCGGGAATTTTGAAGGGGGACGAGCGATATTCGCTTCTGCCTTCCCCAGCGTTAGGCCTTTGCTTTGCCCACCAAGATCAAATCGTGGTTCGCTACTCTTGTTCCTCAAGAACCAGAATGTCCGGACGGCATCCTGCCAGCCTCCCCTAAGGTGGCGTCGCTCTGCCGTTACCGAAGTCACCGCTTCATGTTTTCCTCAGCTTTGAGAAAGCAGTTTCCCAAGAAGCAGGGAAAGAGGAGGAGCCATCAAAGGTTCCCTGAAGGGAATGCTCCTCAACTGGGAGACAGCACCCAAATACGGGCAGGGAGACCGTCAGAGAGAGTGGCTGCCGCTGTTCCGTGCCGCGTGGCGGTGATGGAAGACAAGAAAGGTGCTCGTTGCGCTTGGCGGTATTGAGGTCACCGGTGAACTGATGGGGGCAGAAACCATGTTATAGTGAGGGGTGAGTGGCGTGTAGGAAATAGAGATGGGGGCAGCTGGATAAATGGACCTTGGAGCTCAGAGAAGAGATTTGGGCTGGAGATACAGGTTTGGAATTCATCTGTTTGTTTGTTTTTTTAATTTTTTTTTAACATTTATTTATTTTTGAGACAGCATGAACAGGGGAGGGTCAGAGAAAGAGGGAGACACAGAATCCGAAACAGGCTCCAGGCTCTGAGTGGTCAGCACAGAGCCCGACGCAGGGCTCGAACCCACGGACCGCGAGATCATGACCTGAGCTGAAGTCGGACGCTTAACTGACTGAGCCACCCAGGGGCCCTGGAATTCATCTGTTTTTAGGTGATCGCTGAAGCCATGGGTCTAGATTTAGTCACTTAGGGTGAGACGGTAAAGAAAGAACAAGCAGACCTAGGGCCCAGCCTTGAAGAACGCGAAGGTGACAGGGAAGGAAAAGTATCTACATGGGGCGCCTGGGTGGCTCAGTCAGGGAAGCATCCGACTTCAGTTCAGGTCATGATCTCACGGTTTGTGGGTTCGAGCCCCGCGTCAGGCTCTGTGCTGACAGCTCGGAGCCTGGAGCCTGCTTCGGATTCTGTGTCTCCCTCGCCCTCTGCTCCTCCCTGGCTCGCTCCCAAAAATAAACAAACATTAAAAAAATGTTTAAGGAAAAAAAAGTATCTACATGGGGCGCCTGGGTGGCTCACTCGGTTGAGCGTCGAACTTTGGCTCAGGCCAGGATCTCACAGTTGGTGAGTTCGAGCCCCGCGTTGGGCTCTCTGCTGTCAGTGCAGAGCCTGCTTGGGGTTCCCTGTGCCCCTCGCCAATCTCTGCCCCTCCCCCGTGCTCTCTCTCACACAAGTAGAAAATAAACATTAAAAATATCTACAAAGACAGAAAAGGAGTAGCCAGAGAGTAGGTGAAAAACCAGAAGACTCTGGTATTACCTAACCCAAGAGAAAAGAGTGAAGAAGGAGAGGGAAGTGACCATTAGGGTTGGATGCTGCTGGAAGGTCAAGCGTGATGCCTGAAAAAAGGCCACGGGGTTCAGTGACCCACGAATCACTGATGACCTGGAATTACAGGGAACGGAAGCCAGACTAGGTTGAGAATGGAAACCGCATAGAGGGAAGTTTGGCAGTGAAAAAATGGAGATAGGTAAATGGTGTGGATGAAGGATTATCTTATTTTATTATTACTATTTTTAAGTAGGCTCTAATGCCCAGCTTGGAGCCCACCGCAGGGCTTAAACTCACAACCCTGGGGTCAAGACCTCAGCTGGGATCAAGAGTTGGACGCTTAACCACCTGAGTCGCCCAGGCGCCCCAATGGAGGATTATTTTAAATATGAGAACTCCTAAAGCGTGTTTAGAAGCCACAAGGAAAGCCCCGAGAAAGAGGATGAAGTCCCAGGGGGGAGTGACCATCAATAGTGCAGGTTTCCTGAGAAAGCAGGTGAAAACGGGGCGGCAGTGGCAGAGCTGGCCTTAGGAGGAGCGATGCTCCGCGGCCACCGGCCATCAGTCCTGAGTCACATCGCTTGCCTCCTGACCCAGCCTGGGGCCGGTTGCCAGGCCTCTGGAGGCTGTTTTCACATCAGCACCTCCCTCTTTTGTTCCACTTGCCTTGCCAGTCCAACTTGGTAAACCACACTTCCCTACGCCCCTTAAATTTCTTCACGTACATAGTCATTTTTGCCAACATTTACTAATCACTGACTGTGTGCCAGGCCCCGGGGGTCAAGGACTCGAGTCCTTGTCCTTGAGAGACCATGGTCCAGTGGTAGGAGGAAACAGCTAGAAATGACCAGAGCACGGCTGCCGAGTGTTGCTGGAGAAAGCCCCTAAGCCAGATCAACAGGTGAGACGACAGGAGGGCCCTCCCTCCTGCCAATAATCTGCTTTTCAAATCCACCTTGACTTGCTTTTCCACAGCGCACCTTGCTTTCTCTAGTTGGCCCCCTTGCTCTCGTGTCAGGAGGAAGGAGGTGAGGACACTTCCTCCTAACTCATAATTTCATGTTCCTCATGAAAACAAACTGCTGCAAGAAGAGAAAAGTAAGCATCCATTCCACTTTTGCCTACTTGAGACAAAGGTTTCATTTGGAAATAACGATGGGATGGAGACAGCTCACACATCTAAACGTTCATTGAACACCTACGGGCTTGCCACCAAGATGATGGTAGTGAACAAGGTCCCTGCCCTCATGATATTTACAGCCATTGGGAGTTTGCTGCTCTCGGGGAGAGAAGTGATACTAAGGGAAATAGGCAGGAAAAATTGAAGGGGTGAGGGCAGGGGGAATAGGTATCTCCAGGGCAGTGACAAATGGGTGGCTTTGGGCATTCATGCCCTCGGAATCGGGAACCGCACCCCCCCTTTCCCCAGCAGGCAAACACAAGGTAGTCCTGAGGTAGTAACTTAACTCTGCTCGTAAATGAAAATCTAACTCTCTGTGGTATTCACAGATGCTATCTTTAATTCCACAGGAGAAAGGTTAATAGGAGTTTTGTAGCCTTTTGCTGGTGTATAGAAACTCTGATGGGGTGCCTGGGTGGCTCAGTCGGTTGAGTGTCGGACTTCGGCTCAGGTCATGATCTCACGGTCCATGAGTTCGAGCCCCGCGTCGGGCTCTGTGCTGACGGCTCAGAGCCTGGAGCCCGCTACGGATTCTGTGTCTCCCTCTCTCTGTGTCCCTTCCCCCGCTCGCACTCAGTGTCTCTCTTTCTCAAAAATAAACATTAAAAAAAAAAAGTAAGTGACAAGTGGGGGCACCTGGGTGGCTCAGTCGGTTAAGCATCTGACTCTTGATTTTGGCTCAGGTCATGATCTCACAGTTCGTGACTTTGAGCTTGAGCCCTGCATCAGGCTCCGCACTGTCAGTGCACAGCCTGGCCTGGGATTCTCTCTCCTCCCTCTCTCTCTTCTCTGCCCCTCCCCCATTTGCTCACACGCTCTCTCTCAAACTTAAAAAAAATTACAGTTTCTTTAAAAAAAAAGTGACAGGTGCCTGACAGAAATAATACATCAGGGAAAGGTAATACGATGTTCACAGTTGGGGGTTGAAAGTCCTAAATGAGAAGGTGACTTCTGAGTAGACTTGAGAAGGACACGAGGTAGAAGCCTCCAAAAGCATGTGAAAAGGCTCTGGGGCAGGAGCATGCCTGGCCTGCTCAGGAATGGCAAAGAGGCCCCATAATGGCTGGGGTAGAGTGAGCAAGGCGGGGGGCAGCCAAAACGGATGGAGTGAAGTCAGAGAGCTCACAGGGGCAAGATCTTACAGGTCATAGTTAGGACTTGGGCTTTTCTTCCAGATGTTATAGGAACCACCACACAGTTTTGAGCAGAGGTGTGATATAATCTGACTTAATATTTAAAAATAAAAGGATCACTCTGGCTGCTGTGTTGAAAACAGACCAAAACAGAGGACAGAAGGGCAAAGAGACCTTAAGCTGTCGCAGTAATCTAGTAGAGAAATGACAGTTGCCCGGACCAGGATGGCAGCAGCAGAAGTAGTCAAAAGTGATCGCATCCTGAGCACATTTTGTAGGTAGGGCCCACAGAATTCGCTGACTGACCAGATGTGGGGCGTGAGGGAGTCAAAGATTGTTTAAGCACCCGGGAGGATGAGGAAAGGATTGAGACAGAGAAAACTGCAGCAAAAAGTGTGTGCGCGTGTGTGTGCGCGTGTGTGTGCGCGCATGTGTGCGCGTGTGTGCATGTGTGCGGTGGTGCGGGGGCTATCAGTTTCGGACATGTGAAGCCATGGGATTCAGATCACCACGGGAGTAAGTATAGATGGAAGAGAAGAGATTCAAGGAGTGAAGTCTGGAGCCCTCAAGCGTTTAGACACGCGACAAAGAACCAGGAAAAGAGGGTCTGAACGAGGAAGAGAACCAAGCAAGTGTACTGTCCTGGGAGCCAAGCGAACCGAGTATTTCAAGGAGGAGTCAACTCAGACAAATGTTGCTGATGGGTCAAATCAGACCATACCAGAGACATTAACCTAGGATTTGGCAACAGAGAAGCCACGAGTGATCTTCAGAACAGGTGAAGACCTGATTGGAGGGGCGCCTGGGTGGCTCAGTCGGTTGAGCGTCCGACTCTTGATTTCAGCTTCACGCCAAGTCCTGATCTCACGGCTTCGTGGGTTTGAGCCAGGCATCGGGCTCTCTCTGCTGGCAGCGCAGAGCCTGCTTGCGATTCTCTCTCTCTCCCTCTCTCTCTCTCTCTCTCTCTCCCCCTCGCTCTCTGCTCCTCCCCCACTCATACCATCTCTGTCAAAATAAAGAAGCTACTCAAAAAAACAAAACCAGGATCACTCTGGCTGCTGTACCGAGAAGTGACTGGAGGGGGTAAGGTCAAAAGAAGGCAGAAGAGTTAGGAGGCTTTTGTCATGACTCAGGTGGGGGATGGTGGTATCTTGGGCCAGGCTGGGGGCCGCGGGGGCGCGTGGATTCTAGCTGGAGAAGAG